ATGATAATGAAAATAAAATAATGACTGCATTACGATGATAATTGCTTCTTCTTCCATGTGGGTGCCTTGGCTTATAAGTGAACAAGTAATATCAACTTCTTTGTGCCACCAAACGCTTTACAGTTCCACAATCTCGGTATGAATTGCCGAAGCTATAGGTGAACTGCGCAGCGTAGCCTAATTGTTGGTACTTAAATCATTAAACGATCGAGGTTCATTGAATGTTTCGCAAGCGATTTTATACTAATTGCGCAAGTGGCATATAAAGCTAGACTATGACAAATCTGAACGCTTGTTTTTACAAGAGTGCGAAGAAGTATGAAACTAAGCCAAGGTGGTCGAAGGAACAGCGAAACAGAAACAATATCCACAGCGATTAGTGCCGCCCCAGGCTCAGCCGCCTGATCCCGCGCTCCAACACTGGGGTGTGTAGGGTGTGTACGATGGGCCACATCCGTTACAATTTATCCTGTTGACACTTATTAAAGCGATGGTTATTGTCTCCAACATATTCTCATTCTTCATACTTTATTTAAAATCGGGTCAACACATCTTTTAGACGAGTTGATAATTAATTGAACAGGTATATTCTATACTTCTTAGCTTGCATGGCGGTCATTCTTTGACAAGCGCAACATAACTGTATTGTAATTCATTTCACCCATTTATTACTGTATGTATAAAAGTCATATAAAATATTTTATTCTAAGTAAAACAACAAAATAAAAAATAAAAATTTTGCCATAAAAATTAGGGGTTGATCGTAGAAGTGATAAAAATTGAGAGTAATATGAATTTTTTTATGCTAAGTCATGACAAAATAAAAAAATCATAGAGGGGTGAAAATTTATAATTATATTTTTCTATGCTGTATCATAAAAAAATAAAAACAACAAATTTTGTCTAGAAAATAAAATAAAAAATTTAGAGGACCACCCTTAGGGGGATGAAAAATAGATGATATCCGATTCGCAGACCTAACCGATATGCACACAAAATTTCACGAAAATTGGTCGAGCCATTTCGTAGGAGTTTAATTACTAACACCGTGACATGAGAATTTTGTGTGTTAGATTAACACCCAGGCACTAGAAAAAAACTGTGTTCATCACACGATATTTTTCCAGTAGTGGGGATCGACCCCACACCGTCTGCCGCAGGATGTGGTAGGGCCACGCAACAGTTTTCGCTATCGCACGAATGGGCAGATCCGTCCGGGTTAGTAGCACGACCTCTCGGAAGACCGGCGTGAAGTAGAAGTGTCGTCTGGTGAGTGAGGTAGCCGCGGCGCACTTTATTCAAAAGTGGCAACGCATCTGCAACCCTTCGGGTGTTGTAAATGTTCGTGAACGGCGGTCATCACTAAAATTTGCCGCTTTCTCCCCCACAGTTCACTGAGCACGTTAATAGTCGTGCAATTTTACCATTACCCTTTGCACCAATAGTTTATGAAGATTCTTTCTTTTTTCTCCCCTTATCCCGCTAGGGTGGAGTTGGCAAAACTTGTGAATCATTTTGCTTATACTATTGCTAGGATTTATAAAACCAGCCACCTGCCTAACGTTAACACACCTTGATAACAAACACCCAGATGCGGGACAATGCTCTGTGGGTCACTCAAATACTACATACTCAAATACTCAATACCCGTGTGGGAAAAGAACATACGACCTCCAGGGCCGAAGCCAATGAAATCTGAGTCATTGTGTCACCAGCTGATGATGACCTATAATGAGGAATAAGTCTAACTTCAAATTCTAAGTACTTGTTCGTAAAAAGTATATTTTGTTTTGCTTCAAAATGTCACATTTGAATAATTGAGCCAAACAAGGTTTATGTTTAAGGGGACAATAATTTCACAATTCGCTAATTTATTCCGAAGCTAAAAGATGAAAAACGCCTAACACAATAATAAATTTACGCAACTATTCAATCACTATACAAATTATCGTATGACTGTTTATTGCTCATGTAGAAATTCAGAAATACTGATATTCTTTATTTTAGTTTTTAAGTTTGGAGAGGTTAAACATCCACTTTTCTTAAACGTTTCTATAAGTATATGTAAAAAATATCATTATTTGATTAATTATTTCTTGCATAAAATTTATAATATGATTTATACAGTAAAAAAACTTTATTTAACCGTATCAATTATTTGTAATATGTAATAATATAAGGTTTGCACACAATGTTTAGGTAATGTATTTTGTTTTTAACCACACAGTGCTACAAATTTCATTACTTTTATTACTTCACAGTCTCCGATTAAAAAACGCAAGAGACAAGTATTAATTAAACAAATAATCTCGACCTGAAAGGCTAAAGAAAATAGAATAAATATTAATATACAAATGTATGTCATTATCCTTCAATGATGCTGATGGCTGTTTTGCAATGTTCTATTCAGAGAGTATATTACTCTTCTCATCCGTTATCAAGGAATGAATTGTAAAATTAAACATGAACAGACAGACAAGGTGAGGCTGAAAACATAAGAATACTGGCAGTCCAATGTTACTTAACTTGATTACAAAACATATTTTTCGAAAATTATAACATATTATGATTACTTACAATTGTCATTGATTAGACACATATTATTATGTGTAATTCATTGCGGTAAAATGTTATTTACATATGACACATTTACAATGGGTTACTTTAAAAAAAACTGTCGACATTTTTTCAGTCTAAGCATTCCTTAGTCTGAAAATATGTCCTTATTATAAAATAATTCAGTACATGGAGAAGATATATGATAAAAACTATTTATTTTTATCTTCCTTAACCGAAATACCAATTAAAATGGTAGAAAGTAGTCACCTGTTTTTTGAGGAATAAAACGAGAGCACGGAAAATTCCCGCGTTGCCAAACTGTTATGACTATCTCCAGCCATCGCTGCACTTGATACATAGTGAGTGACTGACTCACTACGACGGCATTATTATGTACATTTTTATTTATTCATCCATATTGAACAAGCAGAAAACCTATGCTGATTTAATCCATTGTATTTACTTATGTCAACATTGGACAGATTAACATTAAATTCTGTACTTTAAAAATTTGACCAGTAAGGATGCTCGCCCCTTTCAGGAGGTCTCATCCACCAAATCATAAGCGTAGACTAAAAGTTGAAGATTTCTCATTCTGATCGGCGCAGTTGACCTAATTATTTATAGTTAGTTGCAAACATTGGCTTCGGCTAGGCAAAACACCTCATCGCGATCGCCGCAGCACTGCCTTGGTTGGAACTTGGACCGCAATCAGGGCCGATCATCTACAGGCTGACGAAACCGAACGTCGTCACGTTCATGAAATATAATATACATACTATAACATATTATACGTACGTTTAAGTCTTAGGCAAGACAGGACAAAGAGCTGACACGCAGAAGTGACAATGCCTGGAGGAGTTTTTAGTCCTTGAAAGAGCTGATGAAGGGCCACCTCCGGAATATTACTAAAGAGGAAACTCATGGACATGTGCATTCTCCCCTTCCTCACATGTGGTGCACAAACATGGTCTTTGACAAAGTTACAGAAGTCCAGACTCGCGGTCTGTTAGCGGGCTATGGAGCGCAGTATGCTAGGTCTAAAGCTTACGGACCGCGTAAGAAATGATACACAGCGCTCCCGAACGCGAATTTCCGATGCGGGCCAAAAAGCCGCCAAGCTTAAATTTGCCTGGGCTGGTCATGTCTACCGCATGCCTAACACCTTTTGAGATAAATCTGCTACCGAATGGGTCCCACGAAATGTAAGACGGGCACGCGGCAGGCCCAGGCAGAGATGGCGCGAAGAACTGGACGCTTTTGCTAGGGATTGGTCTCGTATAGCCCACGACAGAGAGGAGTGGAAAAAATGGAACCTCTACCCAACAGTGGGAAACTAGTGGCTGAATACGTATATGTATGACTCAGTCTACAGTTACTCTCTAAAAAAAATAATTAAAATAAGCTAGGTATTTGGTTAATAACTATATAATTATTAATTCCAAGAATAATGATAAAGTTTCTCGTTGTTTTACAAATTCTTTAAATTCTTTAAATTTGTAAAACAAATTAGTAAATAAAAATTATACATTTTGATATCGCTTGTATAAGTCATGACCAATGTTATTTTTTTTGAAGTTACAAGTGCTTATTTTGATGCGTTTGGAAAATTAATGTCTTATTCACAAACAGAAAGTGGGACATGGGATAAAATTTTTAGTTACTTTTCTTTTGTTACACTGAACAAGTATAACTTCTTACGTGCGTATGCCCGTAATTTTTTCTTATTATTACGAAAATATACAGGTTTCCTCAAGATGTTTTCCTTCACCATTGTGCACGTAATAAGTCAAAACTTATTTTAAACTTATAAAAACTTAAATAATTTACAATTTCATTGGCCCTGGTACCAGGATTTGAACTCCGATTGCTCAAGAATGTTGAGAGAGAGAAGAGATTGATAATACAGATTTATATAATAACGTCGTCGGAGTGTATTGTGTTTATCATCAAATTATATTAATTTTACATTAAAAATATAATTAGATCCACAAAAAACACCGAAAACTGGAGTCACCGACATAGCTCCGAGTTTGGAAATTAGTAATGGGCAGGCCACATCGCTCGAAGAACTGGACTATTACAATTGACGTAGGGAATGATGTCTTGCTCTGCACTTGCAAGTCTCCTGGAGGCTGATTATTTATAGTGAAAAAAATGTTACAGCAGAATTTTTTGCCAATTTTTCTCTGGATAGATCTAATTAAACGAATCAGTGGTATTTTTTTGACATTTATATAGGCTTTAAATAAGCCTATGTCGAATAAAGAAATTTTGACTGAATTTTATAGGTTGCATATTTTCCAATATTATATGTAGATTCAAAATACGATTAATTCCATCGAAAGTTTTTATCCAAATTTGTTTGTCACAAAGCTAACACATCTATATCTCATAAATGAGTGTCTCTTATATACTATAAGAGTCACTAAGGTGATCGAATGAGGTACATCGGAGGGACATTACCGGTTTCCGATCAAACTCTAGTGACACTAAGCTACGCAAGTAACATGCCACGTATTTCCCATTTATCTTTGGGTATTATTATTTTCATAAAAAGCACTAAGACAAAATCGACCGCCAATTGAGGTCAGTAATTCGTGATTTTACTTAATTTGTTTTTTTCCGATACAGTACGGGGTGAAGGTTCAGGCGGTTGGGCGCGGGGCGCGTGGGGCGGGCGGGCGGAGGGGTGGGGTGTGAGAGGCTGGAGGCTGGTCCGGCGCGCGCGTCGGCCGCGTCGCCATTCCGTGTCGCGCACCCGCATCGATCGCCCGCGCCGCGCCGCCCGCGCTCCAACGCTCCACCGCACCGCCAGCCGCCACCTGCCCCGCACCGGTAACGTACCGTTCACACCTTACACCGCCCGCTTTGCTTGTCGTACCGCCGAGGCGCCGATCGCACTCGCCTCGCCACCCACGCTCCTTCACACGCCTTCCAGTGCTACGCGCCAATTTCCTCCTCGGTGTTTGTCAACACACAGTGAAGGCGATCGGTGTTTCGATGGCGACTTACGTCACTTATTACGATCCGCGGCGAAAGTGCATCCGGGGAAATGGAGCTCAAGGTCGCCACCAATGTTCACCAACACCACTGCAAAGATCCAATTTGACTTTGCCAGCCTAAATAGTTCAATGAGCGGTTAATTATTCATTTCAGTATATAATGCATAGCCCCTGCATATATAGTGATCAATATGCGAATGGCGCTACGGCGCTCGGTCATTTTCCACGCGTGAATAAGACAATTTCCCGTTATCTGTTTACTCTAATTTCTTTATGTGAGTACTTATTAAAAAGCGCATTTTTAAATGATTAAAAAGATCAAGGTCGCAATGTGAGGAGGTCATGACCGTGGTAATTAAGGCCCGGTAACCTTAAAATTAACAAAGTAAACACAATTGGTGCAGTTATAATAGGCGATTACATTATTTTATCACGTCTTATATTATTATTTACGTGTGAATAAGATTTAATCCGAACAATACCGAGTGACAGGGTCTGTTACCGTGGTACACGTAACTCTCTGCCACGTGCAGTCGCACATAGAAAGAAATGGGCAATTGTCAAAATTTCCCAGCGGGTCAGCGGCACCGCGTGGCGAATCCGCTAGCCGAAGTGGCAGCGGCGGGCCAAGGCCGGTCGCGAGCACTTCGCGTGCACTTTGCGGAACATTCGATTGTTGCGATTAATCAACGGCAAGCGACTTGCGATAGGATTGCGATAGGCCGCCACCACCACCACCACCGCGACAATGCTCAACGACCGCCACTACAACATACCGTCGACCGTTTCCCACGTGTATACACAAAATGGAATATCGTAGTTGCGTTGTTAACATTAACTGTTCATTTTATATACGCGGATGCTGCAATTTATCAAATTCCATCGCATTTAATCGGAAATTGAGTTTGCCAAACAATTTGAGTTAGCGAATTGCTTACAATGTTTGTAAGTGTAACGTGCGAGCGCGTTACGTAGGGCGGCACGGCGCCGGGGCGCGCAGCGATCTCGACGCGGGCGCGCATTGCGTGCGATCCTGTCGGCCAATGCACTGCAACGCAACAACTAATCTGCTTAAACGTGATTCATTTGTACCTGCTAATCGCTTTATTTAATCCAGATTGAATGGTAGTGGTCAAAAATAGTGGTAGATAATGTGCTCTTATTATAACCCTTTACCATATAACCAGTACTGAATTTCCAAAATGATATAATATAATTCTTTACTCTCGTTCCATTAATGTTGACAATTTGTTAAATTAGTATAAATTATGACTTTTTATCACACTATGTATTTGCAAAAAGAAAACCATAATTATAACTTACGATTTTATCATCATGTTCACGTAGAACATAAGAACTTATCGCGTTATTATTATTAATTTTTTTTTTAATTAGCGTCATCTCAAAAAATGTTGTATCCAATGAAACTGACTGTTTTTTTTGCTCTTATTGTCATAATTATCTTAAAGCCATCATAAACTTTTTTCATTAATTATTTTTTTTATTATGAAGAAAGAGAAATATTGCATCTTGTGACCTAGCGGGGTCGTTCTCAGGTTCAAATTCTCCTTTATTTCACCGTCGAATTCCTCCAATCGATCCTCGTGAGGATCCTTATGAGGAAATTAGTGCATTTTGACGAAGATCTGTGGTTTATAGGAATACATTAAATCTGATCACACATATTTAACACATTTAACACACATTTAAGGGTGGTAGGGCCATGCAGCAGCCTCGGCTGTTGCACGAATGGGCAGGCTCGTCCGGGTAAGTAGCACGACCTCACAGAAGACCGGCGTAAAGTGAAAGTATGAGAAATACTTTCGTGTTTCGTCTGGTGAGTGAGGTAGTCGGAGCCCAATTTCCAAAAAGGTTGTCAACGCATCTGTAAACCCTGGGGTGTAGCAGATGTTCATGGGCGGCGGTATTCACTTAACATCAGGTGAACCGTCTGCTCGTTCGGGAATTTTTTACATAAAAAAAAAAAAAACATTGCAGACTTCGACCGTCGGTGCTTCACGTTTGCTATAGTTTGCTTTACTCGAGTTTTATTAATTTTTAATTTTGTTGTTCCTAAATAGGGGGCGACATAGTTTTTTTAACAGAAATTAAAAGCGAAACAATCCTTAAAATATTTATTTAACCTAGAAGTACACCCTTCGAAAGAAATATTCCCGCGTACACAACATTCGCATTGTATATTAACTGAAGTACGTGACATATACAAACAAGTACTTGATGCAATTTATTATTTAAATATATATACACACTACTATGTACATATAGATAGAATACTACGTACTAACAATACACGCGACATATAAGTTAAATACAGTCAAAATGTAACAAAGGTCACAATAGTTAATTAAACAGGTAATTATTGTCATTAAAGACACGAAGCTCGCTGTAGATGAGAGCAGAGCCACTGACATCGTGTGGCGAAGGCTAATAAGTTGACAAGTGTGTGACGTCATAATCATGGCAGGGCACGCGTCGGCCGGAAAACATCGTCTCAAGTGGAAACAGGCGGTCTATGTTTTAAAAAATAAATATATTACAAGCTTAATCCAGCCACGCTTCGCTGTGAAGTATTATTTATAAAAAATTATCTCCTGTTCAATAGCTATGTTCTTAAAATTTGTAGAAAATGAATGTTGTTGAAAAAATATGAAGTCAGTCCATCGGATAGTTTTTGAGTTTTGTGGACACAAACATATCGAAGTTAGCTTCATATTTTTATATATAATGATTTGTTAACCCTCAGCGTATTTATGTAAAAATTCATAAGTAGAGATAGTTATGAAACTCTCTGACTACATGAATGCTTAGGAAATGTGTGTAGATTTATTATAACTCATAGGTTTGAGAGGAAAAAAAGATTAAGATTTATTTTTGAAACTAACGTTAAAACTAACCAAAAAGACTGATTTTTATGGCAAATATATATTTGGCTTAATATTAATAAATGTAAAAGTGGTTGCCGCTCCTAAAGTGCTATTTGAAAAGATTAAAATGGCCTTTTAACCCTTAGCCTCGTTCGTTGCGTTAAGTTTTTGAGTCAAAATGTTAAGATACATATAGTTTGACCATTTAAGTGGACTCTATTTAGATGGGTAAAGTCAATTACTGGTCGCTGCAATGGTTCGCGTTCCGCGAGGTGAGAGGGATTCAGATTGGTAGCTCGTTTAGAGTTTACCTGGCAGACGAAATGAGCATCGCATTATGCAAACTCTTTCCAAAGAATACCATAGAAGTTGGTAATCGAGCACGCAAATGTTTGTGTTGTAACGCATTGTGTTTCACAAATGACCAATTACGGTGTCTCTGATGGTTCTTTCTTATGAAAAGCCCCTTTGCAAACTTACATACTAATTGCGTCTTGAACAAAACTTTAATATTCATCAATGGATAAAGGAAATCATTATCCATAATCGTATCACCTATTATCGGCTTTGTAACTGATAAAAGCTAACTGAAATATTGTAAATTAATCACATTGTATAAATCTACGTTTCTGTAAATGTTATTGACTGTATCTATAATTGCGTAAACTTAATAAAAAAAAAGTTTTTAAATGATCGTTGATTAGCCACTGATTGCCTGGTTATCAATGCAAAGATAACGTACTCTTCTGCATGATAGTCGCATTGTCCCCGTCCGTAAACGCGAAATGTTCCCGTAAATATGTTCTGCTAGCCAAAGCACTGTGGTGAGGCCACGCAAAAGTGAGCGCTGTCGCGTGAACGAGAAGTTCCATCCTGGGGAGAACTACGGCCTGACATAATATTGGCGTGAAGTGGAAGTATTATATTTCTGCGTTTAGTCTGATGAGTGGGGCCACCTAGGTGCAATTTACTGAACGGTGCCAACAAATCTGCAACCTTACGTGTGTTTCAAAACTCCATGGGCCGTGGCCATCACTTAATGTTAGGGTTAAATTGCCAGCTCGGTCGCCATGAAAAGGAGCCATTGGCAGCCCTGAGCGTGGCGCGCGGCAGCCGCTGCATTCGCTTCCTACGGCAATGACACGCGCCGTGCGTTTCCTGTTTCCTCGCGGTCTTCACCTTAACACGGAGTGAACCTCGCCTCCTCTGGAATAAAACTATAATATCTATTATGAACTGCAAATAAGAAAGTTTGAATAAGTTGTAGTCCTCTCGTAGGACTATTTTCGCCTTATTACTAATGTCAACTCATTAATTTTTAAAGAATCTCAGCACCGCAACCGCAGTAAAGACTGTTAAGAGATGGATATCATCGCAATTATGTTGAAACGATTTATCATTGCAAAATGAGTTTTTCCTCGTGGTGGCGTCGCTTAGCCGTGGGAGGGAGCGTGGTCGCAGTGGGCACGCACTTCTCGTTATGTAACGCGTGTGCTGGCCCCGTGCCGTTACGTCGCTCCGATATTCACCAGTCGAAGCCCAACGGCCTTGTCATCAATATTTCCTTACCTTTCTTTTTAACGCAGGATAGGCGTCCTATCTCAAATTTACACCAAAAAGCATAAATATTTCATTTTCAACAGTGAATCTTACCGACAACGGCCTAAGCCTGGTAAAGATGCGAAAGTGTAAAGTGATATATATAAGACTAGCGACCCGCCACGGCTTCGCACGGGTGCAATGAATTATATATATACATATAAACCTTCCTCTTGAATAACTCTATGTAGTAAAAAAAACCGCATCAAGATCCGTTGCGTAGTTTTAAAAATCTAAGCATACATAGGGACAGACAGACAGCGGGATGACTTTATTTTATAAGTACTATGTAGTGATGATTCTAAGTGCAATGGAGATAGTGGCCGCGTGCATATCAGATGCTTAATATTGTCGCTTCCGATTGAGACAAGTGGTTCGGCGCTGCGCTCGTATCGTGGCGAGCACAGAGTGGACTACGCGACCGGTTGCGCAAGCCGCTTACACAAGCCTCGATGCGCCTCACGAACAAACAGACGCGCCGACGCTGCGGAAGTATTGGTCTCTCGTATTTATGGCCTCGCCGAGGACGCAGTGTCTTGACACAGATTCATTGACCAGACAACCATTCCGTTCGTATGAGTCCATTCGTACATATTTTAGTTCCTTATGAAAAACATTAACATCTCATGTAATTTCACAGCCTTCACCTTACCGTGAATCTGTGCTAAATAAAATCTGTACATAGTATAGCAGATATATGTTTTTCTTACATTGCTTACTAACTTAGTCTTGCTATTTTAAAGCGATGATCTTATAATAGCTTTACGAGAATGCGCGGTGCGAAATTCCTTTAACACCTTTAATTGCTACTACATCGCACTTTCAGGCCGCCTTTACCAGGTTTTTCCACTTTTAGTATGGTATTATTTAAATGTTGTATTAGTCTAATAACTGTTAAAGGCTCAAAACCAATATCATTTTGATATTGAATAAGAGAAATCATAGCGGTCCGGATGACGATAGGTACCATAGACTATGTACTAATTTCAACTCGGACCTGTTGATAGCGGCGCGATCTAAAAATGTTTAAGCTGATTAATTTCGCTTTCAACGTTTGAACGAAAAACGCGGTCAGTCGGAAAGTGGCCGCCGTCCGGAGCCCCGCTCCCCCTCACCCACGAACCGCTTCTTGTGTAATACTTTAAGTACTTTTTATGTACACTCTCGCTTTGTTTTTGAACGCTGAACAGTTTACAGCTGCTGAACAGTTGCTTGCTAGTTCACCATTCTTGTAATATTATTAATATTAACAAACAACAAACGGTAGAGCCACGCAGCAGCCTCGGCTGTTGCACGAATGGGCAGGCTCGTCCGGGTAAGTACCACGACCTCACAGAAGACCGGCGTAAAGTAGAAGTATGAGAAATACTTTCGCGTTTCGTCTGGTGAGTGAGGTAGCCGGAGCCCAATTTCCAAAAAGGTTGTCAACGCATCTGCAAACTCTGGGGTGTAGCAGATGTTCATGGGCGGCGGTATTCACTTAACATCAGGTGAACTGTCAGCTCGTTTGGCAACTTTTCACATAAAAAAAAAAAAAAACAAGAATAACGAGTTTCCATTGCTTATTATCATGAAGGAAATACCTTCTTCATATACCGTCCTGTAATATTTAAAGTTTTGACATACCCAAGTTGATGAATCTGCACCGTTGGTTTTAATATTAGAAGCATATCCGTATGGACTTACCTTATACTATTATATAAATTTAAGAATCGTAATGAAAAAAAAATCATATAAAACTGACGTTGAGTTCACGTATCACGATCTTGAATTGATCGCTTGTCGTGGTAACAACCATTGTTACGGATAATTGCAAAAAGTTTCAATATTAATGATAATAAACAAGTATTTCAAGTTACTTTATATTCAAATCGAGCTTGTATGCCATTATTTTCCTGTACTGAGTTTTTTTTTAATTAACATAAAATCCTTTCTATAAATGTATCATGAACACACGTATCATGAACGCATGGATTTATGACTGTGTTCGTATGTTTTATGAAAGGATATATATTAGAGGCTGTATCGTAGAGGATGAATATAATATAATCGAATATAAGATTATAATATAATATTCACCATTCTAATTTAATAATACAATATATTCATAAAATTTAGATCATCTTACATTTGTTCTAGCATAATTTTCTGTATGGGCTATCATAATTAGATTAAAATTAACACGAGATAAAGTGAAACCTAAAACGAAACAAATTAATTAATGTGTGGCACTCATTTCCTTCTACACAATTATATAAACGCAAAGTATTTGTTCGCTATTTGCTAGATAACGGAGCTAATCATTATGCAACCGTCGAAATGTTTATCGCGGCGAAACCCAAAAGCCGAGAGGTAAATCAAAAGCTGCCGAAATATAATGAAGCCTATAATAATTTGGCGAAATGTTCCTGCAAAAAAGATCGTGTGCGGAAATCCGCACGGTGCCCCAGCTGACGCAACGCGCCCATTGCACCGCCCCCCTCACTCGCCAGCCGCGGTTTGCGTCACGGCAACTTTCCCACGTGGACGCACACACAGTCGCGCGCGCGCACACAAACGAGCCCGCGGCCATCGGAAATGTGGGTGAAGCGGCAATACGGTCAGAGGTCCACGATCTATGTTAAGCGCCGCACCGAACCTTATGCAATCGGCCTACGTGGCTATTAATATTAGCATTTAATTATAAACACTTTGAATGTATGCCACATCTTGGCCACCTATCGTTGTATGTGTTGTGAAATACATTAAATAAAACTGCGCTGTCATAGGTCCTCTATGTCATTGGGTGTAAGACGATTCCTTATGAGACAAAATATTCATTTAGCAGCTTGTCTCAAAATTGATTGCTATCCTTTCATATTGATTTCGTTATGTATTTATATGGTCAACTCTTATCCACTGCAAGTAATTGACGTCAGTTCGTGACTTGCTTCGTGAAAATTCGTAATAAAATTCGCTAATGACCGGACAAGCAACGACTTCTCCTGACTGTACTCATAGTATATATTTTAAGTCTATGTGTTAATCAATATCAAGTTCTGATTGCAAAAAATAAGAAACTTTTAGCATGTAGGTACAAGCTCACGCACCATTTTTAGTGTAGTAGTAAACTTCCCCCAAAATCTACATTTACTTATACAAGCCAGTTGAACTTTTTCAGATATTTTATGGGTCAATGAAAACACGGAGCCTTCGTAAACCAGTCCACGACCTTCCTTTGCTTTTATTATTCCGTACCATATAATAATCAATTAGTAAGAGTCCGTCGATTGAGCGCGCCCCGACCTTGCCAACTGTTATTTCAACCACGACAATTCGATCACACGACATTTACGTAATTACGTATGCGCACATTCGTGTGTATGGCGGAAAGCTCTTCCTGTTATAACTAAAGAAGTACAATCTCAGGTGCATTTTGTGTTTTATTTTTTGCACTAAAGACGTTTCCACTTTGTTCCATATCGATTGTAAACGAAATACGTACGTATACCCGCAGCGGCGGCGATACACGTGCCATGGCGATCCCAATGGACACAGTAGCGATGCGATTTATGCCTAAACTGACCATACGTCCCGTTTTAAACGGGACTGTCCCTTTTCTCGTACAGCTATCCCTTTGTCCCCGAACAAATCTTCGGGACGCAACATTGTCCCGTTTTCCGAAACCGCACGAAATTTTAAAAGCACGCTCGTCAGACATAATCATGAGCAGTGCGATTATTCCCCGCGTGCACGCGCTCTCGGTTACCTAGTAACACGGTAAGGAGGAAAGGGAAGGGGGCATTTTTTTCTTTCAATGGGCTAGCCACGCGCATGTATATTCTTCCTGTTTTTGTATAATGTTCGTTAAATAGTTGTAGATAATTTGAAAATTTGTTGTTTTGTAATTTTACCAAACCTACAAAAAATACCTATTTATTAAGCAAATTAACAGTCCTTCGGATGTTAGATGCGAAGAGTGTCGCACAGTTAGTGTTTCCCATAGTGGTGCTGGTGACATTGAACAGCTTCAGTTCTGAAGACGATGCTGATAACATAGGTCAACATAAAAGAAACGTGCCAAATTTTAATCTTATTTAAAATCGTCACCTTCTTTATTTAAACATAATTTGTCCCCTGAGAAATATTTAAAAATAAATAAATAATATTTATAAATATACCAACTTTGTTTCAGTAAAAAATAGTAAACTGAAAACATCAGTTTCGTTGTATCTTTTAATTTTTAATCTTTTCAGAATAAATAAAATTAAAAGGTTATGTTTATTGTCATGTAAATGTAAATCAATGTCCCGTTTTGAGTTAGAAAAAAAGTGGTCAGTTTACGTATGTCCAAGGCGCTCGGTGCGGAGACATTCGCTTCCCACTCGGTCACCTTACAAAAGTATGTAGCTAAGTTGCGTACACTCAGAAACGCAAACAAGAAAACAAGAAACAACAAACTAATGTGAATGAAGATACGGACAGTAAATAATGAAACGTCTAATATACTCGTGTTCATAAGTTAAAAGATATATATAATAATTTGCGAATGGAACTTAAATGTAGCCCAACAATGATTACTTGTTTACACGAATGATACATAGGAAAAAATAATCTCATGGGAGAGCTATAAACCATACACACAATATAAAAAATGGGTTTTTAATAACCAATCAAATACCATTCAATGAAACTTAGTGTAGGTTTGTATTATTATTTCTTTTTTCTGGTACATAAAGTCATTATCCAATGAAAAATTAATTTCAGTGACATGAAAAACTTTCTTTAATATCTTTTTTTATATGTAAATTTGGTATATCGATAATATATATATTTGAAACGTTATTATCAAACATTTAGTAGTTAACGTTGATCAAAATTGTAAACCTGTTAGTATTAATCATTGTTAGTTTAAATGGATTATTTAAAACTCCCTTATGGTCGAATGTTTGTATTACGAGAAGAAATGTGCAGTCTATGCAGTGGCGGATTTGTAGTCTTGGCCGCCCTAGGCCCCAGCCCGTTTTATAAGTTCCAGCCGCCCATTTCTCAGCGGCCATCGTATGTCTTGCTATCATCAGTGAATTTTTATCACGATTGGCCGCCCCTAATATGTGGCCGCTCTAGGCTGGGGCCTATTGGGCCTTAGGGAAAATCCGCCACTGAGTCTATGGGGTACTTTGGTGGGAGCTGGAGCGACATCAGAGGCAGTTGAAGTAAGCTGAAGTAATAGTGGCTCAAATATAATGCTGTCGAAACTTTAGGTCCTTGGGTTATGTGTGCGAGAGCACATGAAAATTTTTAAAAGGTTTAGGTCCTAGATGTTACTGCGATTGGTGTCAAGAGGGCTGGTTCTTTTCTGGCTGAAATATTTGGCACTTGCGGCCCGCTCCGGCTTCGCACGGGTGCAATGAATTAAATATATATATATATATACATATAAACCATCCTTTTGAATCACTCTATCTAGTAAGAAAGATCGCATCAAGATCCGTTGCGTAGTTTTAAAGATCTAAGCATACATAGGGACAGACAGACAGTGGGACGAATTTTTTTATACTATGTAGTGATAACTATTCAACGAGGAAATGCAGCTAGCGTTGCATAGCGATATCATGTAATTTAGTTAGAAGTGTATACGTTGCTATGATGACACGTACCTACTCGTATTATATAGACTTATATAATTATTCATCAAATAATTGTTTGTTTTATCTTTTTGATTAATTCTTTAAATCTACGGTGGTAGGGCCACGCAGCAGTCTTGGCTGTTGCACGAATGGGCAGGCTCGTCCGGATAAGTACCACGACCTCACAGAAGACCAGCGTAAAGTGGAAATATAATACTTTCGCGTTTCGTCTGGTGAGTGGCCGGAACCCAACATTCAAAAGGTTGTCAACGCATCTGGAAACCTCGGGTGTAGCAGATGTCCATGGGCGGCGGTATTCACTAGATATCAAGTGAACCGTCTGCTCGTTTGGCAAATTCTCACATAAAAAAAATCCATCATCCATCCATTACCCCACACTGAATAGATACTTGGTCTTTTTATTTGAATAACATTTGTTTAACAATTTCCAGTATACGCTTAAAGACAAGGAATGATTATAAGGTTTCCTTTTATGTCTTTTTTTTTGTTCTGAAATAGCGGTAGTAGTGTTTTTTGACAATAAATTGTAAGTGTAATGCTTCAATATTGAATAACGATATTTGAATTAGAGCTTGATTAGCATTTATAAAAAAACACATTTTGTTGTTACACATATTAAAGCATATTTTCCATTCTTCATACAATTCAATGACTATACTGTACATAATAATATAGTACTGTTGTACATAATGTTAGTGTAGTTTTTGAAGAATAGTATGTTGAAAAATTTTTTGCTCAAATTTAATGCTTAAGTCTTCACACATTAATACAAAATGTAATAAAGGCATACCTCAAAGTGGCTTTAAAAGATTGTTATCGCCACACTTAACGTGTTATGTAAAGTGTCATCAGGAAACATCAGGCGCAGTGTTTGGAACAAGACAAGATAACCTTCGAGGACAATGTTTCGTCCAATTCTGTTGTTCTTAACATAATGAGCTTGGGGCATCATATCACCGTAAACCGCTTTTCAAATGTCAGAATTAAATATTACAATGTAATTTTCTTCTTAATATAACCTATTCTCATTTATCACGTAGCGGATGTAGAGACATGCAAATTATATTTGACATATCAATGGGAATGCACTACGAATAATGGACAAATATTACAACTTTGTTACAACTAGCTCAAGGAGTACGCTGGATTTAGTTTTGACTTTTAGCTTACAGTTTAAATTACTTCATAAATGTTTTACTCTGCGTTTGTATTAATTGAAGCTCGAATGGCATACCATTGATATAATGATGACGTAGTATAATGAAGGTGGCCGCGGAGCGGCAGCGCCACTTTTACTTTCGATGACGACTCGTTTGATAACCGCTGATTTTTAATGGAACGTTATTGCGTAACACGTGGTAAATGTTTCAGTGTTAATGCTGTAACGTGTGACGTTTGCGTTTTCTTTTATAATTTTCTATATCATTTTTCGTATTATTATATTGTTAATTTGTTTACAGGATACAAAATATTATACTTTTTTTTCAATAGCAATCCGTATCTGTTGCAAAAGACATGATGTTGAGTGTTTTATAAGAATATAAAATTTATCAGACATTTTCATTTTCCTGTACACACGATTTAAATTCAACAATTTAGAAATAAAAAAAAAAAGAAATTGTTGTGTAATTGTGAATCTAAACCATTGTTCAATCGACTTGAAGATACAAAAAATTTCATTAGAATCTAAAAATAAACGGTCCAGCAGTTTAGGAGGAGTTCAGTGGCACACCCACATACAGAAGAATTATATATATAAAGATAGGGCTCAAAAAGCAGAAAACATAAAATGTAGTATATCTTGGCATACTAAAAGTTTTACTTAAATCTTTTATTTTATGTATAACCATTCTTCTCACCTAAACTACTTAAGGTTTATAAATTCTTTTTCATCAACTTCTCAAGTATAAAACTTTCTTGTCACAACATTTTAATAGAATACGCACAATGGTTGGGAATAACTCATTGTGTGTACCCTTACTGGGTGTATA